TTTTGCATAAAGCAACACTTCTTAAGATCCGTATAGAATTTTCTACACATAATATCTGCAGAACCTATCGGAGACGATCCATGCTCTTTTCTTGACCGACTATAGATCCAAATGTCATCAAAATAGACTATTGCAAATTTTCCTATGAAAGGACATAAAATCTAGGTTATAACTCTAATATATGTGCTAGTTGCATTAGACAGCCCAAAAGACATGACTAACCACTCATAAAGTCAATCTTTGGTCTTAAAGCCTGTCTTCCATTCATCTCCTGGTCTGATCCTGATTTGTTGATAACCACTACATAAATCAATTTTGGAGAACCAAAGTGAACTAGCCAGTAGGTCAATCATATCTTCAAGCCTCGGCATAGGGAATTAATACTTGAATATACCTTTTTTAATGGCACTGATATCAACACACATTCAAAAAGAACAACCTTTCTTAGGGGTCAACAGAGGAGGAACAACAAATGGGCTAATACTATGATGAACAGAACCCTTTTGCAAAAGTCCATCCACTTGCTTTAGAAATTCAACACGCTCAGTCGGATTCATACGATAGTGGGGATGGTTAGGCATGTTGAATGTTTCTCATAAGTGGTAACTCATTAGGCAGTTCCTCAGGGATCATATGGTGAAACTCTATCAATAAGCTATCAACCTCAAGAGGAAGATCAGCCTTGGGTTTAGAGGAACTCTAAAAATTTATTTGACAACTAAAGCTACCAATATGCAAACTTTTTCCTCTCCTTTTCAAACTCCCTATGGGGTCAGATGTGAAGATCTTTCTTAGGAGGTGTCTAGGAAGATGACTTATGTTTTGTATTATTACCCTCTAAGGGATTTGTGAGCTTTAACTTAATTTTCCCATTGTGCTTAAAAACATAGGTATTTTCCCAAACATAGGTATTTTCCCTCCCATAGTTTGTCACATCTAGACCAAAAAGCCAAGGGTGACTTAAAAATACATGGGCAACATTCATAGGTAAAACATCGCACCATATCCAATCTGAATAGTCACCCGTCTAAATAGGGACTAAGCACCTTGGTGAGACTGGTAAAGAGGTCTTGTTAACCCACACAACTTTACAAGGTTGTGGGTGTGGCTCTAGCTTAAACTGCAGCTTGCGACTGAGCTACATCCAACTTGGAGATAACATTTAGTGAATTTCCCTTGTCAGCAAGAAGAGAGACCTCCAAATGTCCTTTCTGGTCAAAATGTAGGTCGCGAGAATTTTCCAGATGATCGGGTTAATATAGCCATGTCTAATTACTCCTTAGACGGTGATTAGGAGGATTACAATGAGCCTTTACAACCACATCCTAGGCACCATGTTATGCACCACAGGCCTCCCTCACAACATTACCACAATGCCTGGCATAGACATGTTCGAAAAGAGTCCAAAGATATCATTCAAAAAATTTACATAGATGTCAAGATAATGCCCAAAAATACATTATCCAAAATCTCATCAAAATCTATGTTTACGTCTACTGTAATGGAAGATAATCGGATTCCAATCAAAATGTAGTAATCTTACTATGAAAAAAGTGTTCAACAAATAGAGTATGATTGTAATGATTCTGATAATTAACCATGCTCGAGTATAGACATCACCTTTGGGTACAACATCATCAACATATACAATAAGTGTTGTCACCTTATTTAACAAATAAAGTATGATAAAAATGATTTTGATGATTAACCACACCTCAATATAGCTTGCATAAATCTCTTGAACCATGCTTTTAGAGACTGCTTCAATCCATACAACGAATTTTTTTCAGTCTACGCACCTTACTATATTATTAGAGGTAAGTTCAAAATTGGGTGGAACAGCCTATATACTTCCCCCTTAGAAACACATTTTTTACATTAAAGTTTGGAAGAGTTGAACCTCAATTTGTAGGCAAGGAAAACAGACAAGAATATAATTCATTTTTGCAGTCGGGGCAAATGTTTCCTGATAACTCATCCCATTAATCTTTATAAAACCATTCACCCCCAATCTACGCTTATGTCTGCCAAATGACAATCGAGCCATCAACCTTGTGTTTCACCATAAACACCCATCAACATTCAATTGGTTTTTTTTTTCCCACCAGGTAACTCAACTAATTTCCAAGTGTTTGTTCTTTTAAAGTGGTTCATCTCTTACACACATTGCTTTCATCTAGTTGGGATAAATAAGTACATCTTGTATATTATGAAGAACAAACACAAAGGACAACTACGATGCAAAAGTTCAGTAAAACAATGAGAGATGATGTAGAGATACAAAATTGAACATGGGATGTTAAGTGCAAACTCGAACACCTTCATGGAGAATAACTAGAACATCATACTCAATATAAAGAATAGGAATTGACACACATGGTTACTCGAATCCATGCAGACCAGCTGGCAACACGATGGAATAAAAAGGTTTTTATCCTTTAATATTGTTGAATAGACTTGTAATCCATTTTTTCTTGTTGATGTTCCTTTACTTGTTGAGGTTCATAATTATTTTCTTGCTCTTGTTCCAATGGAAAGAGAGACATACATGATATAGATGGGTGAACAAACCTAAACTTTTCTTCACTCAGATTCTTCCTATGACTAGAAATCTCAAGGTAGAGATAGGCTACCATTTCAAAAAAGGTGACATCCACATTAACAAATCTATTACCCGAAACTGGATAAAATTGTTTATAACCTTTTTGCGTAGGAGAATAACCAAGAAAGATGCATTTTTTTGCTTTAGGATCTAACTTACGTTGGAGCCGAAACACATACAAAGCAAACACACCAAAATACCAGAAAAGGAACTGAAAAGAGTCGATGAAAAAAAGATAAAACCTCAACTAGTAACCGAAAGTTTGAACTTGAAAGGGCATTTTAGGATAAGATATATCCAGATAAGTGTGGTCTCTACCCAATGTATAACCTTGGAACATTCATAAAAGAAATCAAAGCCCTTGCAACTTCTAATAGATGACAATTATTCCTTTCAGAAATCTTATTCTGCCAAAGTGTAACACTATTAAGTTGTTTGGTTGAACAATACCATGCTCAACAAAATAGATCGAAGTCCCTCATAAACATTCCCCATTATGAGAACAAACAAAAAAATGGTACTTCAATATGTCATGTACCATTTTTTTTTGGAAATAAGATAATACTTCAATTTTTTTCTTCTCGCAAGTAAACCTAGGTGGTACAAGAGAAATCTTCAATAAATATAACAAACCATTTGAAACACACAAGCTATGAAATACGAATACGAGTACGGCCAAGATACGTTTATAATAAAATATATTTAATATTTTCAACCAACTTAATATTTATATATTTTGGTCGTTCTTTAACATATAATAAGGAAAATTAGTAATTCTTTTTAGTTTCAAGAAAATATATATCATGTCGCTATGGTATATTCACAAAATAAAGTAACTAATTAAAAGAATCAAAGCTAATATTTATCTAGTATTTAGAAGTAATTTTTGCTAAGATTATAATATAATAGCTTTATTTTATGCTCTTTTGACATGTAATTATAGACAATACTTAAAAAACACTCATGTGCCTTTGAAATAATATGATTTTTTTGTTAATGTATTGCATGGTATGTGAATTCGAAAAGAGATGTTAAATGTTCAACTAAAAAATTATATATGTTTCTCGACTATAAAAGTAATTGTGAAGTATCCTACTATTTAATTATTATTAAATACGTAGAAAGTGTATCCGATGAATATCGTATCCAATACGGGTACGCCAATTTCAATGAAATATCCGTGCTTCATAGCACACAAGCTAGCAATTCAAGAAGGTCCCCCAAACCTTAGTACGAAGAATTGCAACAGGTGAAGTACTTTTATTAAAACTAATAAAAAATGACAAATTGTCCTAGATTCAAAATGGAATGAATTTGAGAGAAATTCATTCTAAAAAATAAATAAGGAAATAATTTTTGCAACAAAAGAAATTTGCTCCTTCTTATATACTGAAACTCTATTTCCATTCCATGTGTGTAGATGTACTCGACAATCATGTAATGCGCTTTGATATCATGTTAAAAAATGGAAAGAAAAGAAAAAGAGGAATGGAGGGAAAAAGATAAAAGAAACTACTAAGACAAAGAACAAAGATCGTGTTCTCTCTCCGTGTCATTTATATTTATAGTTTTACATATCACATTGACAAAAAAAATCACCTTTTAGTACATTTACAAAGCTCTAAACACACAAGCAGAGCCATATTTTTGTACAGTGGGGGCACCTTACAATTATTAATAGCTTAAAATCTTAGAGTTAGCATCAATTTTATAAAAGAAATTTGATTAATTCAATCTTTTTATAAGAAAATTGCCCATTAGAGGCGTATAGAGTATAGACAAGAGACGTAAAAAGAGACAACAAAAAAATCAAAATAAAATTCATCAATAAAGACTAACAAAAAAACTTTTGTAACAAAAACAAAAATGCTCACCATGTCATTTCGTGCAACAAGGTTGTATATTACTATTATAGTTCTCACTTTCTTAATAGGAGGTTGTTTCAACATTGATCACTTCTAAAAAATACCAATAGCCAATTCAAAAGTTAAGTCCTTTAGTTGGACGAAAAATCAATATTTATCACCAAATATTGGCAAACAAATTAATAAGGACCATAAATAACAATAAAAATCAGAAAAAAATAACAGAAATAGTTTAGAAAAACAAAATCTAGCACATGTTTATTGATTAGATTAAGGAGCAAAATAATTTATCATAATATACGAGTGCCTGGGACTAAACTTGGACAACCAGCCTGACTTTGATGTTAATGTGGTGCCCCCTTAGCTTGAGCCCTTGGAACTCAAGCTCAAGCCACACATTCCAAACAATAAAGGAATTAGAGCAACAGATGATCATATTCATTAAAAATAATGGGGAAAAAACGAAAATGATTATGAAGGACTTAACAAAACCAAGAATGCATACATGAGCATTTACAGATCAAGCAACAATGTTAATCAGAGCTCCCCGGAAGCAATTTTGCTGAGCCAACTGTGCCAATACGTCGTACTGCTGCAGGAATGACTCGAGATGGCGACACAACCTCCGCAAAAGATAGGCTGTAGGTATCTGCTCCTAGACGACTTTGTAACCACCCGCTTCCCCCCAAAAACCCATCACGCATGATCCAGCAGTTCTTAAAGCCAAGGCTATTTAGTGCTCTAGCAACTAGTTTGGCTGAATCAGAGTACCTGAGATATTACAAACATGAATCTCTGAAAAAGTTCAAAACACGGTATATACAGGCCAGTTGAACTTTATTACGAATCTGAATGAAAATCTAGTATCCATAGCAGTGTGGGAAGTAACTCACGAGTCCATTATCACGAGGTTGGAACCTTTGTTAATTTTCTTGAGATATGATATCTTCAAAGCGACTAGTTCAGCTTCTACTTTCTTTACATTTCTGACAAGACCTTTTAGCTTGGTAGGCAATTCTTCCAAACTGGACCAGCAGAGAGAGTAATGAATTAGTATAGGTTATGCAGAACAAAATGACAAATGAACCTTTTTCAAGCGTATAGGATTCGCTATCAAGATTTCCTAAGGAGACTGTCTGCAAGTGCCGGGAAAAGATGCACCTCAAGCAGCTATCATTTCTCTTGTCCAAGGAATAACCAGATCAAAATTTCGTTTTAAAATGGTTAAAATGACCGAAACATTTCCGTTTTCAAGGAGACAAAATTAATCGAAATTACAATGTTTTGAGGTGTTTTGACATAATTCCATTAATGTTTTAAGATATTTTCAGCATATTTCAACCAATTTTTGAAAATAAATACTCAATTTTTTACTAAAACGAAATTTTGATCCTTGGGAACAACCTTGGTTTTCTCTTATATATTTTGACAGATATTCTTGAGGAGATTTTTCTTGTACTCTTTTCCAGTACTGGTAAAGAAACAAAGTTAGTGGAGATTATGAGTAGAAAGAAAATTAATATAGTATGTTTTACTAGAAGCTAAGTGGTTATAAGAGAAACAAAGGAAATAGAAAAAAAAGGTACAAAAAGATGGACATAAAAATGGTGTACGGATTTGTAGTAGCTAATAACTGGTACAAGAAAAAGAGAGTAATATTTGTTCATTAATATCAGAAAAATATGGTTAACGTAATGAGTGCCAACACAGTCCAAGTTGCATTGGGTGAACATAGAAACGATTTTCAGGTCAAATATGAGTTAATGCAAGAGATACTTGGAGGAGGGAAGATAATTATAGGTAGGGATTTTAGTAGTCCTGTAAATAACTACCAGGGAGGATATAAGAGGATTGACAGTGAACATGGATATAGTGACATAAACGATGGTGGAGACGCTATTTTCACAATGGTGTATAACCTTACAAAAGCAAAAACTTTTTATAAAGAGATAAACATGAAAAGCTTCTAAAAGTGATTCAAGGAAGAGTCAAAATAGATAAGTTTACCCTACATGAAATGTAAATTGATTAACATTTAAAGATTAGAAGATTATCCACGGACGATAAGAACAAAAATTTCATTTTGTTTCCACCAAAATGACTAAAATATTCCAGTTTCCAAGGAAACTAAAGCAATCAGTGGTTGAATATCGAAGTTTATATGTTGCGAGGTCTTTTGGGATGTTTTGGTTTGTTTTGAAACATTGCGAAAATAAATTTTCAATTTTTCCTTAATTTCCATCTTATTTTCAAAAAACTTTTGTTTTGAGCTTACCAAAACTATGTACCGAAACAAAATTTCGAAACTTGCCCATGAAAAGAGTTGAACGTCACAACACAGCCTATTAACATTAGTAGTATTTATTAAAGGATAAAATAAGCGAGAGATTAGAAACTCATAAACTAATGGTGGAATTTAAAAGGGGAGGATTTGAAACTTTTAAGGCTAAAATGTTAGAGAAGTAATAAGGAATTTGGAAGATGAACTAACATGAAATGGTACAAAACGGATGAATGCTTTAAAAGGGCATACAAAAGAAAGTTCTTCAAAAATTAAAGGGAAGAAGGTGCTTTCTAAGAAACTTGGTGGTTGAATGACAAGGTACAAACCGTAGTAAGAACCAAGATTGTCAAAACGAGTATCGAAAAGCGTATAATTTTTCAAAAATAGTGTATCGTAAGATACTTGTAGTTTTATAAGAGATATTAGAAAATACATATACCTATGAAAATAGGTCATAATAACATTTCATTGCATCAGAAATTTCTCACATAAAATAATTTAAAGAGAGTACAAGGAATAAAACAAAAAATTAACCTAAGTATTTAAGTTTCTAAAATAATTCATCAATATCAAAATTTAGAGAGTTTTAATTCTAGCAATCAAGCTATTTGCACTTGTGATGGAACAAATAACAAAAGAAGACTTCTATTTTTTTAAAACCTCTAAGTGAAACGGCGCCGTTTCATCACCTAGCATTTATAAATATTATTTCCATCTGAAAATGCATCATTTTTCTGGTTTAAAAAAAAAAAATTGATTTGTTTCACCCCGTATTGGATAACTAGTATGTATCGCCTCATATTGGTTGTATACCGCACAATACAGTGCAAAACCGATACGATTTAAGTGATACAAATCATTTTCTTCATTTATCAACACATCGTACAATAATAACAACCATAAGAACAATAAGGGAGAGCTTTCAAAATTGGCAGTGCAATAGAAATGACAAGAATGCTAAGAGACATAGGTATGCTAACAAAAAAGTTAAAAAGATAGGAAGAGACTTCAAATTTAAATTTAAACCTTATCATGATTTAGCAGCTAAATTAGAATCAAAAGATGGAGAAAAGATAATTTGGAAATGACACGAAACCCAATAAATGTGTTAGTAAAGAAGAGTAACATTATCAATTAGTGAAAACACAACGGAAAGGGAGACACAAAACTCGCATTGAACGATGAAGTGAAAAAAAAAATTGAATGTTCATAAATTTATTGAACCCATGCCATCGCCCTGGAGCATAATGATGAAAAAGTAGTCATGCAAACTCGGAACCCCTACTTGGTTTATTTATAACTACTGTATTTTTCTTTCTTGTCTAACTACTATTTTCATTTTGTTTTTCTTAATGGCCAAACGTACGGTATTCCATAAAGTGATACCAACAAGCATTAAAAAAAGCTTGGATTTGCATCCAACATGAATGACTGTCTTAAGTGGCTGTTAGATATTTAAGAGTAAGCAGTCTAACTGAATAACAACACATGAGAATGAGATCTTATACACTATACTACAAGAAAGAATATTAACTCAAATAGCGTAGTTTGATAGATTGGTAAGGAGCTAAACTAATATAAGATTGAGGAGAAACCTTACTTACGGGATTGCAATCATTTTCTTTTTGGCACTAGAGGGAAGGCGAGGAATACCAGCCTTGTCCTTGTCCTTTTCTGATCTAATATCAATCATAATGTAATTCCTAGTGGATATGAGATCAAGTGTTTGAGCAGGAGTGAGGTCACCTAGAGAGTAAATCACCAGACAAAAAAGGACCAAATCAACAAAATATTTTGAAAATTACATGGAAAACCCAATAAATATTAGACAACTTCATACATTAGCTTCTCGCCATCTAAATCCAGCATGCAACATTTGGCACGAATATCCAAAACCCAAACTGAAGCAATCATTGCAGTGTTTCATGGTGGCAAACAAGATTTATGTGATCCATGTGGTTTGACCCCTGAATTTTTGTGTCCCCCAAAAAATTTGTTGGATCCTGGTAAATCTCCCTCCATTGAGGAACCAGAAGCAACACTCCCAGCCAGAATTGTCCAAATGAACTACCCCAATGTTTTATGGGGAGTGATCCAATTTCGGGAGTGGTTTCAAGTTGCCTGGTTATACATGCAGACCAGTTTTTTAGGTTTAAGGTTTCAGATATCGGGGAAGACCATTTTTCGAATTCTTGACTATCAATGACATTTCTTGGCAGTCTTCACGTTTGGTGCTTTGTACATATGTGTGTGCTATAAGCTTGGTCATGAGTGGAGATGCCCTCAACCAGAAAAAAACAACATGCTCATGCAACAATTGACTGGTTTAATGCTCATACCAATATGGTAGCACATTTGAACATTTTCTTAACAATTGAAAAAGCTCTCGATTTATTCGGTATTAAGGAGGGCTTTGCCTTCTTAGAGAGATCTCGTTCGTAGGGCTATGGTCCGGCCAGGATTTGCCATGCAGTCTAGAGATCTAGTTGATGCTTGGAAACCTACTTTGGAAGATACTGGTCCACAAGCTCAAATGTCAATATTTAAAAGAGTCTTAGGATGAGTATTGCTAATTTTACCTTTGTAGCCACGAAGGCTAAAAGAGATTGCAGAGAAGAGAGGAGGAAGCAGGAGATATGCAAGGAATAATGCACCACTAGCCCCTACAATCGTAATGGGGTCTGATGATGAGATAGCTTCCACTGTTGATGAGGCTATGGGCTTGGCCTCTTCAATCACTTTGGTGGTCTGTTGTGCCACCTCAGCAAATGTCTGCACCCAAAAGGATCATTTATTTTCTGGGTGAAGATGTAAATTAATAAGTTTGAAACAAGAGAACAGAGTGCTCTAGGTCAACCTTTAAATTGGAATTTTGCAAAAGTGAAATGGGGGTTGATAACTGTGATTGAAGTACAAGTTATATGTGGCTATTTGGACACTTCCTGACGTCAGAATCAATTCATCAAACTTTTACGTGATATTTGAAGCTGCATGCTAGTTGCAAAAGATAGAGGTACACTAAACAATCAACTATCGTAAATCAAATCATATAATGTCTTCTTTTTAAACATTTATTAGAAAAGGTAAATAAACTTGTTATTATGAATAATAACTAAACACATCTAACCTTTTCCAAAATCACATTATTATCATCTCAGATTGCACAAGAACTGTAACACCCCAATTCCCCTAGGCATGTTACTTAATCGCTCTGATACCAACTTGTGACAACCCAGTTCCCCGAACATGTTACTTAATAGCTCTGACACCAACTTGTAACAACACTGGTTCCCCTAGACATGTTACTTAATAGCTCTAATACCAACTTGTATCGCTGCGAATCCCCCAAGCACGTCACTTTTAATGCCCTGCCTCCCACGAGCACTTTACTGATGTTTCGAGTACCAACTTGCAGCTTTTCAAATGATAACTATCATATTAATCAAAAGATATAAACTTACGGATTACAATCTATGACAAAGCAGAAGTAAAAACTTTAACAAGGTCAACCTCACTTGGAGGGTTTCACAAAACGTTATATAGTTACAATAGAAACAGTGTAGTGCCTAGCAATTCTAAGCAAAGAGAATAGGCTCAGTTCGGTTCAATCTGATCCTTATCCAACTGCTCAAAGTATTTAAACCCCCTAATAGTTGAGTCATGCTTTGCATGGCTGGGAGAAGTCTTGTTAAGACACCTCCACCTTGATAGGTGGAAAATAACCATTGAGGGCATTTTTGTAATTTTCATATTTTATTTTTCTATTTTTTTATTCCTCCAACTTATTATTTAACTTAAAAGTATCATTTCTCTAAAAACCAAAATTTCATCTCATTCTAATATCAATACAATTTTTCATTTATTGGACAATTTTACCCCTAGCACATATCTACACTATTTCTCATCCATCACTTCACCACACCTTTATAAACACTTCACATAACATATATTCACCCTTACTATGTTGAATTTCTTTCATTCTCTCCATCAAACTGATAACTTTATTGAACGCTTTTGTCCTTAACCCGGTTCAGCGTAATTCTAAACCCAGTGCACCACCCAAGCTCATCAAACCCATCTTACTTCACAATCAAACCCGCATTTTGTATTAACAAGTTCGGGTATTACAACCTACCCTCCTTAAAGAAGTTTCTTCCTAAAACTTTCGTATTTTACACTTATTCACTATACCTGCCAACATCGTTGATCAAGAGCAAAAACTATATTTTTTGGTACACACTATTTATTCTTGTCGGCATTATCACGTACACGCATCCCTTTCTTAAATTTCCTTGATCCCCGCTCGCCCAATGATGAGCTAAAGGTTGTCCCGGTCTCGGTGCCTATTCGAACCTTTCACCTACCTGAAACATTCACCAATAATATTCCTCGTTAAAGATCTCTCTCTCTCCTTTATTTTGAGGGAATTCCTAAGGTGCCACCACACTCAAATGGTGAGATAACCCAATCTGCCAATTAGTCTTTCCTTTTTGTAACTACGTTGACCTCACAGTCACCTCATTGAAAAATACAGAAATAGGTCAGCCACTTATGTGTAGCAGAACTGTCACCTGCACTATTCATCGTTATAATATTACTCCCGTTTCTTCGCCGTCGATCATGCATTCTTTTTCTCTCCACTAGGCTATAATCTCTCCTTTCTTGTTCAAGCCTAAAATATTTCTTTTCTTATATCTTCACATATTTTTCTTTTAGGGTACAGGATATCAAAGTCTTTCCTGCTTTAAATTATCCTGAAATTTCTTTTTTCCTTATACCTCGAATCCGTTGCAAGTTTTGACCAAGAACTTAATTCCCCTTCCATCCCATAATTCAACTGCTCACTCTGGCCCACAAGTCAATGTCTTAAGCATTAGCCTAAAACAATCCATAAGATCATATCTCCAAGCTCTAATACCATTTTGCAATGCCCTTAACCCCACTCCCTAGGATACACTGCGAGTCTGCGAGAACTTAATCACATTGGGTACTCCCAAATACAGAGCACTACAATCCTAAGTATCTTAGAAATAATGCCTTCCAATCTTAAATAATTCAACAAATAAGGTCAATCCATGTCATCCGATCTTTCTTGAGAAATCATAACAATAACTAGATACTATCCATCTCTAATTCCTCAATTGATTCGATTGTTTTTAACCTTTATTCTGAAAACTGCTTACATAGAAGAGGGTAAATCGAAGGTGAGCTTAGGAGCCCGGTAAACAAAATATACAGCAGTATAAGAAATTAGAGGCAGAGAAGTTGCCAACCGATCTCATTACCAGGGAGTAAAAAATAATAGTTCACAAATACATTTCAAAAATCATAAGGAACTTAACATTCCAATCTTTTACAGTACCCATGCCTTCATGCTCAGTCCATCTCGATAATGTACCAAGCACCACTTAGTGCATTTCACTATCACACAGACCCACAAGACCACAAGTACATCTCACAGAACAAACCATGCTACCCGAGTGCCCTTAACATATGTTGATAGGCTCCAAAACAATTAGCCAATCAAAAAAAAAAAGATTTTATATAACACATTCAACGAAATATCAAACGAAAATCCATTTGAGTTTCTGAACAGCAACACTACAACAATCATAACATAGTTAAACAATAGGAATGAAACACATTCCTCGCAAAGAGATTTAGAAAGACGAAAGTATATATTGAGAAGTAATCCACCTGTATGATCCTCAATCACAGCCAAACCTATCAAATTTCATCAAAATTGAAATTTAATGCATTATTTGATTTCCTGGTCAATATAAGGTTTTTTTTGTTGTTGTTTGGTTTTCCGCTCGTAGTTATTCATTTTTCCATTCTTTGTTTCTTTTCTTACAAACTGAATTCCTAAGCTGCCTCCACACTCACATGGTTAGATAACCCAAGCTTCCAAATAGTCTTGTTTAACATAACTAGTGAACCACATTGATCTCACAGTCACCTCATTGAAAATCATAGGAATAAGTCTGCCCCTTCTTTGGCTCTATATATCTATATCTATACTACTATAAAACGTCAAAAAAGGTGAAAAACTTTTGATTGACAATAATAACCATACTAAAATAAGTAATACCAATCTATCCTTTTAGAGTTAGAATGGCAACATTAATACTATATTTATTGTAATTGTGACTTTTGTGTGGATTGTTGATTGTTTGTATGCTATTCTATATCTACAAGGTTTGAAAAAAAAAATTGTGTGGATTGTTGACTATTAGTATGCTATTCTATAGCTACACTGTTTTAAATTTTTTTGTCAATACATTTCTTCATCCGATAATCGATAAATATTTCTTACACAAAACCAATCTTGAGAAATAAGTATAGCAACCATTTCATATTCCATGAAATGACTTGTTCATAGACATTGAATACATAAATATTCAGTCTACAATAAATATATCAGTTATAAATTATTAAGGAGTTAAAAGTCGACCCATTAGGCCTTCCCCATTCACACCTGTTTCACATGCTACTGATACACGTGAAAACTCATGCACCAATTTAACGTTTAGACGCTATAAATTCTTGGCTAATTCCAAATGTGCAGTGCATACATCCCCCTTACGTACCGACAAAACAAACCAACCCATCTCTCTCCAATAAGAAAATCTTTTCATTTGGTCTTCTGCTTTGCTTTCTTGGAGAGGTATGCAATTACCTTATTTATTGCCTCAATTCAAATTAATTGTTTGTGTATTGTGGTTCTGACTATGTGAATGTATCACTAATCTCAGTTTGCTAGGTTGATCTGGAATTTTATTCCTCACATTTTCTTCTTCGTGGTTAGAGTTTCATTTGTTTGACAGTTGAAGTCATTGAATGACATCTATTAATTTGTTTGCTATATTTTCTGAATTTTCTTGTACATATGGTTTTTATTAGTTTTGTATTTATATCGAGGTTGATTATGCCTTCATTAGTTGATCTAACGTTGAAAATAGATTTTTTTTTTTTTAATTCCAAATTAAGATTTTGGCTTTATAGTAAAATTCATTCAAAGTGTTGTGTGTATAGTATCCTTTATAATCAAATCGTATCAAGAATGATTACAAAGGTGCAAATGTTGAATAATGAGAACATAATATTACGTATTATAAATATCATAAACATTCATCTTAGTTGTCGCTTAATTCCTTTATTTTAGTTGAGGTTTGTATTTTATTGAGATTTTGTGTGTTTGTAGTTGAATTGGTGTAAAAACGTGGGATTTTGTGTGTTTACAGTTAAATTGGTGTAAAAACATGGATGGGCACGAGTTTCAATGGCATGGAAGACTTGGGGTATGAGGTAAAAGGTCCAAGAATGCAGCCAAGGCTATTGCAATCAAAATTGAGGAAAAGACCACTTGTATCAATAGGTCTTGTACTTGTACAACTGAAGCCAGAAAGAGGTTCTACTAGTAGGTCATCACTCCTAATAGTAACTGCAATTCAGAGAGTTATCCTAGCGATAGGTGAGTATTGTCTTATCGGTAGGTTGGAGATAGAAGAGCGTCCTACTAGTAGAAGAGCAGAACAAGTAGTAGGAGGAAAACACTGAACAGTCCCACCAGTAGGTCGTTTTTTGCTTTTTTTTCCGGTAGGTTCCTATAAATCTACTTCGATGACAGATTTGGAAAGGCAATGTCCTGGGTTATTTTAAAGGCCGTGATTGGTGGATGAAAGAGAGAAACATCAGCACAAGGCCTTCTATAAATACCCAAGTCTAGCTAAGAGAAAAGGGATCGATCATTAGAGTTCAATTCACTGTTCTTCTTCTTCGCTCTCCTAGGGTTCTTAGTCTTTCTTTCTTCTTTTTTGTCTTTCTTCATTGTTTTACTTTACAAGCTTTACTTAAATTCAAGCCATTAATTCTTGAAATTTCAATTCTTGTCTTTTTGCTTTAATTTACAATGATATTTTCTTCAATTGCTTTCAATTTACTGTATGCCATGCGCGAGTAGTCATTCACTGGATTGATTGGATAAAGTAATCTCATCCATGAATTGGGGATTTTGACTCGAATGACTGATCTCCTATCGAGTTATTTGGGTCAATTGAATAGACTAATTGGGAAGATATTCAATTGTATATCTACTAGCTTACCCGTCGACAATTAAGACTTGACACGGGTAATTTTTATAATCACTGCAATTTAATTAATTCTGCTAATCGATTCAATTGATTCGAGTACACATTTGTTATTTATTAAATTGGGTGTTTAACAAATATCTACCGCTTGGGAGAAGTTTGACCGCAATTTCGAGTGAGTTATAGAATTTGAATCAAAATACCTATTCACGGTGAGGTGATATCTACCGATCAATCGATTCTTTCATTTAAGTGTTATTTCTTTAATTAATTAAGTTTTTCATCTTTCAAATACTCTCGAAATTTCGAACTTTTATTTCTTTTTGTTTCATCACCCTTGGAACCAAAAATCTTCCCCAATGAGACGACCTCAGTAATCAACCGAGTTACAAACGATACTTGTTCATGTGCTTGGGAATTCCTATTAATTAAATACAACTCTAAGGAGAAAACATTGAACAATCTCATAAGTGGCTGAAACCCAACCTATGTTTGGAAATTGAAGATTTCCGAAGTTATTTGTTGTACCATCAATTTGTATATGTTTGTAACAGATTATGAATCATTGGTTGTCACTACAATACCGTGTTACACCTGTATAGGAATGGTTTTAAATTCTCGATTACTTGGACTATTAGAGTACTTTCATTAGGCTCTTTGCTCATTATATTTCTATGGTTTAGAGAGTTCAACATTCTATTAAATATTTTAAATCATGTTAATTCTACATTTTTAAAGAATATAACTACTAAAACCATACTAAAAAATAGTTTACGTACAACGCACATGTACATCAACTAGTCTTAAAGAAATGTACATCCTCTCTTTATGCTATAATCTCTCTTTTCCTATTCAAGCCTAAAATTTTTCCTTTCTTATTCCTCTGAATGTTTTTTTGTTTGGTTACGAGATATAATAGGTACAACACATCCGTCAAACAAAATCAATCCAAACAATTATGATCAAAAGAAAGATTAAAAAAACAGTTTATTTCCATCATATGCTCATGTCCACTATCTTTATCTAATGTATGACTACTATTGTTATTCTAAATTTTCTAGGCCAGTTTAGTCATATTTTTTTATGTTTGGTTAAGTAAATGGTTATCAAAATCCCTATTTGAATCATAGGATCTTACAATCCTACGCTCCAGTACTGGAAAATCATCCGAGTTTCTTGTAAAGTCTCTAATTCATAGGATCTTAATGGCTCTTAATCTCGATCCTATAGTGTCTTATGACCCCAATCCAAATTACAATTTTATCAATCCAAGATATTGATTTTGTTTGTGAGGCACATTTAGTTATTAAAAGGACTCAATTTATTTTTATTGTTTTAGTACTTAAAACTCAATCCAAATATTCTCATATCATTATCAGTCTTTTGGGGAATTTCAAAGAGTGAGAAAAGCTACAGAAAGTATTTTGTGTTATGGAAATCTCTCTTCATTCATTCATCTCTCCTATTGAAAAGTTGGAAACAACGTTAGATCTTACCTCCTCTTTCGACGAGTGATCATAGCTAGATAGTCTTTTATTTTCATTATCATCAGCTTCTTTTGTTGGGATGTCAAACTGCCAAAGTTGTGTATTCAACATTCTCTCAACTTTGTAGTCTCTCCTTTATATGACAGTCTCCGAAAGTTAAAGATGAAAATACTTCAACCATCCAATTTCTCTTCGCGAAATTTCAACAGATTAACAAGCCCAATTTGATTTTTAACCCTATTTAATGCTCAAATTATAGTTCCCTCAAAATTCAACTACGCAAGTCAATACCGCTGAGAAAGACACCATAATGAATTCAATTATGTTCGATTATACCTCCAATCTATGAAGCACGGATACGGATACGGGATACGGAATACGGGTACGATACGATATGGATACGACGATACGACAAATTCTAAAAAAGTAAGATATAGGTACGACCAAGATACGGCTATAATAAAATATATTTAATATTTTTATTATTTTCAACCAGTTTAATACTTATATATTTTGGTAGTTCTTTAATATACAATAACGAAAATTAGTAATTTTTTTTAGTTTCAAGAAAATATATATCGTATCGCTGTAGTATATTCACAAAGTGAAGTGACTAATTAAAGGAATCAAAACTAATATTTACCTAGTATTTTGAAATAATTTTTGCTAAGATAATAATGTAATAACTTTATTTTATACTCTTTTGACATATAATTGTAGATAATACTTAAGAACACTCACATGCCTTTGCAGTAATATGAATTTTTTGTTAATGTATTGTATGATATGTGAATTCAAAAAGAAATATTAAAAGTTCAACTCAAAAATTATATATGTTGTTCGACCACAAAAGTATCCGTGAAGTATCCTAATATTTAATTATTATCAAATACGTAGAAGGTGTATCCGACGAGTATCGTATCTAATACGGGTACGTCAACCTCAACGAAGTATCCGTGCTTCATAACCTCCAATTCAAGCAAAAAATGGGCCCCATTAAATCACAAAAATGTGCATTGTTAGTAAACCATATAGAGCAATAGCTGCATGTAAACTGCAAAAATCAGAACAATTGCAATTGGAGAAAAGCTGTATTAGAACCTTAGCAGCGGAGACAACTGGTTGTGTATCGATCCCCGAGCTTTGCATTGCTTCTTGGGCTTTCTTTGAGGCTTCGGAAATGGCAGGCGAAGCAACTTTCAGCGCCTGTTCTCCACTCTTCTGTAAGATAGGCAATGCCGCATCGATTCCAGGCTTCAAAGCCTCAATCACAGCTCCAATAACACTCTGTGCAACTTCCAAAACTTTTGAACTTACTTCTTGAACTTGATCAATTTTATCCTCTACCTACACAAGTAGCATAGATTATTAATCTAATGAAATGGGTAATGAACTAAAATCAAGTGAATATCCTAGAAAATTTGCAAATTAGAATTTACGTGAGCTATTTACAAAATCAGCACAAATAAGCAATTTCAAGAAATGAATTGAGCATATTACACAAAATGTGGAATATACAAGAATTTAAGTAAATGTGTATCAACTAAAATTGAAGATAAAAATCTTAGAAATATGGAAAGAAAGCGTGGTGAATGACCTGAGTGAGAGATGAGACTATCTGGTCTTTGGGTAGAGTGAGAGCCTTGGCTTCTACCGGTGCAGTGAAGAGGGCAAAGAGAGAGAGTGTGGTTGATGTTGGCAGTGATAGAGTGGTGGGTCTGAATTGAGGTTTGGAGAGAGAAAGGGTTCTGGCTGGTGACGATGGCGTGGGAGAGGGTGCAGGAAGTGGAGGTCGAGCTATGGCTGAAGCTCTGAGGGCCATCCGTTTGGCCTTTCTTCGCCACCACTGTGTGTGTGTTTGTGGTCAGTAGGTTGATGGATGAAGGGGGGGCACAATGTGATGAGAAATAATCGGTTGATGGTGCGTCTCTGGCCCATAATCCGACGCGGTAATTTGGTATCATAGTGAAGCCACATACAACCCAACAAGTGGCCTCTTAGATGGGGCATGGGTCCTGGTGCGAGAAATTCAACTTTTAATCTAACAATTATATTTAATTAAATTCTTAAATTAAATCAATATTATTTTTTTCATTATTTTTGCTCTTTACTTGTATCCAACATGTTGACGACATCATGACCAAAAAAAAAACATGCTGACGACGTGAAGAGATATTCATTTTTGGTATCACTCCTAAATTCATGTGAAATATAAGAATAAAGTTACAATATTAAAAAATTATTTTTTAATATTATATTCGAACCCTAAATATAAATAAGCCAGTTGTAAACCCCACCAATTTTTTAAATTGACAATTACAAAAAAAATGTATATTATTTGTTATTTTGTTTGTTTCTTGATCTAGTATTAAATGAATTATTATAAAATTGTACGAGCGTTGATTTAACTAATTTGGCAAGACCTTTTATTTTTTTTTTTGTGAAAAAAGGGATGGGGATAAAGGAGAGCGCTCAGAAACCACCGCGATAGGCCTTCACTGGTATGATCATGAGACTTTTAATCACGTCTGTTATTCCTTTCATGAAGAAACTTAACTAGACTAGTATAACAGTCAATAACCAAGCCTCAATTTGAATTCTAAAACTCGAACATCTAATTTCAAGGTGACAAGACTTTAGTTGTGCATGTGCTTCTGTTAAATTCCCGTGTAGTTTGAATTAAGATTGTGCTATGACTTGTGGGAATTCCTATGTAGGAAGAATTGAGGTTCAATCAAGCTCATAGGAGTACTTAGGAATGTCAGTGGACCGAAGCGGAGTCGGGGAGTATAGTCTCCATCCTCGTACCCACTTAAAAAAATTTTGTTCATTCTCGGTCCACCCCTATTAACGATTATAATTTTTATCCACATCCCCCGTCCGTGGGTAAATTTCTAATCCCCGCTCCCCATTCCCGCTTCCTGCATACCCAGCCCATCCCAAGCTCAAGCCTAAGTTCAAACTAACATAATCCAAAATTCTAAATAAATCCAACATAAAAACCCTCTTGAATTAAGGATTGGGACCTTGCAAATTGAGGGGGAGAATTCATTATAAAGCCATTGTATTAAAAAAATTAGCAACCTCAGTAACTAATGATTTTAATAACCTTAGTAATTATTCCATTAAATTTCGAATAAGATATAAGTAAACCATGATTTTAATAAAAACCTTGAATTCTAAGATTGTTAAGTAGCCAAAAAGTGCAGTCAATAAAGTTGCAAAATCTATCCTATCAAAAAAAACCCACAACCTAGGATTATTTCCACGCAATACTTGTAACAACTGAATATATGCATTCCATGTTTGCACTTCATGATAAATTAATATGATGTATATGAATCAGTATAAATTGAACAATTCAAAGCACTTATTTTTCCCCAATACACAACATGAAAATTTTGAAATTGCTAAAAGAAACTAAATATCATGGTGGTCAACAAACACCAAGTAGTTTCCACCCATAAGATTACCAGCATCGAAAAACTTAAAAGGTGAGTGAACTTGTAGATGTGTTTCAAGGGCTCACTATAGTGTCTAGATAGGTCCAAGTTCTGTGTAGATAGGCTCACGATGGTGTGTAGATAGGTCCAAGATCTTACACCTGTGTGTCGAAGATCTGTGAGCAAGTGAGAGATGCAGCGATCAGTCGACTGTGAGAAGCTGCTGAGTGCAGCGATCAGTGAGGAAGCAATCGACTGTGAGGAGCTGCCAAGTGCAGCGATCAACAAGAGCGATGGAGACGGGCGATGGGTGTCTGTGTCATAGTGTGTGTGGGTGTGAGAGAGAGGGAGAGAAAGAGATGGAGGCAGACAGGCAACTGATGATAGAGGAAGAGGAGAGGAGAATAAGTTAGGGTTTTAAGCCTTTTAACAAGGACTATTTATATATAGTGAAAATTAGAAGTAAGTCCCTTTAGATGTACTTATTTGGAGATAAGTCCTGCAATGAAACTTATAAAGGGCTAAGTCCATGTTTAAAATTATATGTAATGACTAAGTCCATTTTTTTTAATCTCAAAAATACCCTTCCTTGAAAGGAAAATATTTTTTTCTCTCTCATATTTATCTATATCTATATATAGATTAAGAGTTTAATTAACATTAAAATTTTTCCTCTCTCTTATCTATCTATATCCATGTGATGCCCTTAAAATCAGGGGTCTCGTTGACCTCCCGTCAACCCGCATAAATACCCGTAATTGTCGCATAACTCGACATCACGTCTATCACATTCCTGTAATCTGTATTACGACCCATGTGTGATCCGTGTTTCCTTTAATTCATTTAATCCCATTGAGGTTGAACATACTCCAATATGTCTCATTTAAAGTCCATTTGAGTCATTGGAACCAAAGAATATATGGCCCAAAAGCATGACAATGCATTCTTAAAATTTTAGATTTTTGAAAAATCTTCTGGAAGGTTTTTCATAGACCTTTCGGAAGGTTTTGGTCACTGAAAAAGTTCTTCCAGAAGGTTTTGTCTACTGGAATTCAGTTTACACTAACCTTCCGAAAGGTTTTGCCTGCTGAACCAAAAGTCTGCATTAACCTTCCGGAAGGTTTTGCCCAGAATTTTATGCCTCTTCAGTTTTTCATTTCCAATCCGCTCAAAACCTTTCCAAAACCACTCCAACACATGTATAATAACATTTTTTTCTACATTATACATGGTTCATACAAGTCTATTACCACCCGTTCCATATAAGTTACATGCCAAAATGGAAATTAAACCAAAAGTTTTACATAAAACTTTGTTCAAGAGCCACAATCCGGCTCTTCTTCACCTTAGAGGCCCCGAATGTGTGTCATCCACCAGAATATGTCCCGTACCTGAAATGTTTCTCATATAGGGTGAGCCACGCTCAGTAAAAAGTTTCCTACAGAGGCTACTCTCCTCCTAGATGCATATGCAATGGCTTTATGCAACAATACACAACCAATATCTATTCCAATACAAAAATATGCAATTTATGTTGGAATCACCCATGTCATGCCATGAATGAAATGAGATTTACTTACACACCCCAACCCGAGCCTTCATCGCCCCTCACCACACTATGCAATGCAAGTGTAAAACCTTTTATCATTGATGAAAAACATCCAATGATCATTTTGAAATACAATTCATATGCTTTGAAAACCCTTCCATTGTTGGATGTTTCCCATTCAATGAACATTTTATGCAACAAAATCATGTGTCTTTGTTGGGTATCGGATTTCGGAATCACACCGCTGGCTCCGTATGCCATTACACCTTTCCGGAATTTCACCTCAGGAAAGTGTCTGAACCAAGTGGTCGGGTTTTTCACCCGAGGGAGTGTCTAGCCCTACTTGCTATACCCGACACAAGTTTTTCTCATGCAACATGCGACTCCAAGGGATCTTCGATCCAACATCTCCGAGTCTACATGTTAATTACCAAGAGTGGTATTAATTACTTCGTGCATACACACCCACATTCATGCCTAAGCCCATGAATGTGATGCAACCTCATGCCCAAAATGTAATGAATGTCATATGAACAATATTAATCATATTCCATGGAATTTCATGTCATATGCACATAACTTCCATAATTCATCATTATGCTCAATATACCAATAAGCATATGTTCACATATCACAACAACTCAAGCATGTTATTTGCATCAAAATAACAACATTCACTTATCTAAGGCATTTAATCAAATACCTTCAAGGTAAGGATATCATGTCATCACATAATATTGTCCACATACACAAAATATCATCAAGTACCAAGAAAATGGTTCACATAACTCCCACAAATCATATTTAAGCTAGAGTTTAATTTAAGTCCTTCCTCGACTCATTTCCCATTTCCATAACCATATAACCAAGTAGGAGAACCCCCTACCTCTTGAAGCTTGAAATAGAAGATAGAAGCTTCCAAAGCCCCAAAAGCCTTGATTTCACAAATCTCCCCCTTTGGACCTTTGGTGAAAATCTTCGTTTTTGGTACGTACACGTAGCCCTCGTCGCGTAGACCAACTTTAATTCTTAGATCGATGGATTCCGGCCGGTGGAACTTCGAGAATCGAATGAGAAAAGCTTGAGATTTTTGTTTTCCCTCTTTTCTCTCTTAACCGTGTGAACCAGCCAGCTATGGGGTGTAAAAATATCTGATTTTTCAGATATTAACCCCCTTTTATACTTTTAATCCCGCGGTCCACATCCCCCTGCTCGTTTATTATTTTTGAGTCCGTTTTTAGACCTGAAACGATTCATTTTAATCCAGTTTAAGTCCAAATTAATTTTATTGGAACTTTAACTCAATTATAAGGAAAAGTTAAAATTTTCATTTTTGGGGACCTTTAAAAGTCATTCGTCACCCAAATCGTCTCGAAATACGTGTAAATTCTAACTATCTCAGAATTTGACGAAAATTGACAGGGGTAAAGTCCGTTACTCCATCTGAGCTCTATAAAAATATGCATTTTAAACCTGCTTAATAGTGACAAATCATCATTTTGCCCTTTGTCGGAAAAAATTTAAATTTTTTCCTGGGTTTTACAATCCATATATAGGTTATATATATAGTAACATTAAAAAAAATAGTAATATTCAAATATAAAAAAAAAAATTACTATGAATTTGAATAGTAAAATTCAAATTCATGTTACTATTTTTTTTATTATGTTATTGTTCATGTTACTATTTTCGTTGAGTATGTTATTTTTCATGTACTATTATTTTTGAGCATGTTACTGTTTTTGTTGACCATTTTACTACTATTATTTTCCTAAATATTAATATTCAATGTTACTATTTTTTTTTAAAATATTACTATTTTTTGTATTT